TGGCATTCACAAGCAGAACAAGCGCATGGTCACCCTGGTGTACCCAGGAAAGGGAGATATGGCAACCCCACCAGCGGGTCAGGGGCATGGCAGGACCTGGCTCTGCAGGGGGGGGGGGGCAAAGCAGTTTGGGCTGCACGGGGTGAAATCCAGCTTGGCCTTTCCTCCCCGTACTGTAAATCCTATACCTGTGTAGTCTATAGGTGTTACGGACAGACAAACCCCTGCCTTCCCTCAGCTCCATCATCCCCAACCGCGTGGCCTTTGTTGGAAGCCCCTGGGTGTCGTCCCCCCCCTCTCAAGCAAGAGCTGGGGGAGGGTTCACCTCAAACTCCACTAAACAGTAAAGACACAATGCAAACAAACGTATTGCAGCACGCAGCTATGCAAATAGCTTTAGAGCACAGCACGTTTTCCTCAGCGCTAATTGCTGCGCCGCCGGGGTTGCGTAGCAACAGCTCCGTTTGTGTCTCTGACAGCTCCTGCCCCTTGATGCCTCTGACACCTTCTGCAGGCAGGCGGGGAAGGAGGAGAGAACAGGGCTGCCCTGGGGAAGCTGGAAGGGCCAGGAGGTAGCGAGGGGCGAGGGGGATAAGATTCGCTTGGGACGCCGGGGTGTCTTGTGCTGGCACGGGGCGACACGGTGCGTGCAGCGGGGCTGGAAGCGAGGCGTCGCGGTGCGGGAGCAGAGGAGCCCTCCACAGCCGCAGCCTTGTGTCGGCAGCTTTCGAGGCTAGTGGCCAAAAAGGGCAGACCTGTCATCTCCCAGGCTCTGCAGGGAAGCCCAGTGGCGGGTGGGTTGTCTCTCCCATCGCAGTGAGTCTTCACGGGTACCCTGCACGGGTTGGTGACTGCGCTTGCAGCTTGGCTGCAGGCATGGGGGGTCCCCAGTAAGTGGCCTCACGCTGCCGCAGAGCTTGTGGCTCCAGCAGCCTTTGGGAGAGATGACACCTTCCCCATGCGTGCCCAAAGCTAAGAGAGCCTCGGGCCAAGCCCTGTGGGAAGGGGTGAGTGTGGGCACTGGGAGGAAGCTGCAGATGGCACGGGCAGCCCTGGGCTCCCTCGCTTCTCTGCTGAGCCCAGCAGCTTCTGCCGGGCGGACCTGTGCCTCCCGAAAGGCAGGCTCTTCAGAGACAGGGGTGGCTGCCTCCCAAGAACAATTTTTCCCCCCTGTTTAAAAGCACATTCCCAATTCCCATCCTCTGTGTTTGCCAGTTGGCCTCCAGCTCCTGCTTGCGCCTTTGCCAGCAGGGCTGAGGAACCTGTTAGTAACCGGCACCTTCCCCTGGGAAGGCGCTGGCGCTCTGCAATCAGCTCACCTCTCCTCTCCTCTCCTCTCCTCTCCTCTCCGATAAGCCACGTAAATAAATAGTTTCCCTGCAACAGTTTACACAGTCCATAAGCAACCCTGCCTGAAGCCGTGGGGCACTTGAAATAAACTCTTCTATTACATCTGAGCATGAAACAAGCTCTTCTCCAAAACTGCCTGAAGTAGGGAGGATGCATGCAATCCTGCATCCATCGGCCACCAGGCAAAAGAATGGCCTTGGGCATGTTTTATTTAGTAGTAATAGCCAGAACAGAGAGGAAGGGTGGGAAATGCTGGGTCAGGTACCAAGGCACGTGGATTAGCAGGTCCCAGGGAGCAGAGTGCTGTGTCTGGGCAATGTGGGGATGGAGAGGCACAGGCTGCGGCTCGGTGTCCTGGGGGGACAGAGAGAGGAAGGACCGAGGTGGGATCCAGCTGTGCTGGGAGCCTGGCCGCAGGTGGTGGGGAGAGATCTCTGCCTTGAGGTTATCCCGAAACCCAGAAAAGGGTGATGCTGCCTGCAGCACCCGAACAGGGGTGGGCTGGGGAAGGAGCAGATGAGCTCACGGCGAGAAGTTGCAGACCATCTTTGAGCCAAAGTGATGTGAAAGCAGAGGACCCTGAACGCAACGTGCCTGCAGAAGCAGGTGAACTGTGTTTCTGAGCGTGAGACGGGTCTTCTAAGGACAAAGGGCATCAAGGCTGAATGGATTTATTTCCTTTATCAAGCAGGAAAAATATTTATCTCTGTTTTTTAAATTTACAGCTTGACAAGCTGTGTGTATCTCAGATTGACTCCTTGGAGTACAGTGGGGCAGATAAGGTGAAAATGAGCAGTGTGGCCTCAGTCACACTTCAGAGGAAGAAAGTAGGTGAAGGCAAGGCGCAAATGCCCCCTCAGCGCCTATAGGGCCGGGGAGCCCGAGTCTCCTCCACCACACGAGCAGGACATGGGTCTTTTCCAGCCCCGCACGCACAGTGCAAAGCAGGCGTGACTTGCGACCGGCTGCGTTCAGCATCGCTGCTGCAAGGGGAGGAAGGACTGTGCCCAGACGCTTCGGTTCCTTCTCCCAAACTAGAGACTGCGTACACAGACCCACCATCTCCTCCCTCGCCAGGCATCACCCGGCCCGTAACTCGCCTCTTCCTCCTCGCCACCCACCCGGGCAATCCCTTCCCCTCTGCCGCAGGCTCTTCCTTCGCAGCCATTTGCCTGTAGCACCCAAAGGCGCCCCGGCAAGGAGGCACTTGGCTGTTTTGCCACCGTCACCATCTCGAGGGCTGCCCGGGGAGCGTGGCGTCGGGCTGGGCCGGGGCAGGGACACACCTCTGCCGCCGCCGTTATAAATTCGGGCTGGCTGGGGGGAAGATGGCTGCCGCTCTTAGGGCTTGCGAGCAGGTAAGAGGAAAGCAACCGCCTTCCTGGCAAAGGCGGAGGAAAAGTTGTGCTGAGCTCTGCCCCTTCGCAAAGCCCTCCTTTTGCAGGGGTGGGGGGAGATGGAAAGGTTTTTTTTATCCCCTTTGTTATTCAGCAGGGCAAGGGGAGGAGCTGGGCTGTGTAAGAGATCCTGGCTGACATAACCCTTCCCATGCAGGGCTCTGGAGAGGGGCCAGGTTGTACCTGAGCATTTTTGTTTAAGCTAATCCCAGGCATTGCAAATTGAAAGTCATCGCAGCGCCAGGTAGAACCAGTTGAGACGGTTGCTGGAGGGCGTTTTTCTCGCCCGGGTGTAGTAAAGCAGACTGGAGGTACGTTGTTTATGGCTAACCCCGAGAGTATGTTCTGGAGGTGCCGGAGCACATTGGGCGAGCCGAGCTCGCTCAGCCTTTCCAGGCGGCTTTGGGAAAACCCTGCCCGAGAAGCCCCGAAGGAAACTGAGTGGCCGCGATTGAGAGGCGAAGCCTCGTTAGGCTTAAAAATTTGGGCAAGCTGGAAAGCAAAGGCAGGCTGGCTGGCAGATGCTCAGGGCAGGCTTGGCTGCAGCCTGGTGTTTCTGGGTGAGGAGGAGACCAGGTGCCATCTGGCCAGCCCTGAGCCCAAAGTGGCCTCTGGGCTCCTTTCCCTGCCCTTTGCCAAGTTTGGAGCAGTCCCCGCAAGCCGGGGGAAGCGGGATGCTGGAGGTGCCGGCCCGGCTCTTGTCAATTCAAAGCAAGCAGCCAGCAAGCAGTAAGTAAGCA